CCAAGCTGCCAACTCCAACCAGCCAAGCTGTAAGGATCACTGCAAGGTGGCCTAGAAGCCACCCAAGCATCTCCAAGGCAGCCTGGAAGCCCTCAAAGATCTTCACCAAGAAGCTGCTCAAAGCCATGGCCTGAACAAGCTCCCCAAATGAATCTAAAAAGGAAACCTTCAAAAAAGAAACCTTTGGACCATTGGAAACACCAAAGATTTGTAGTCTAATGTCATTCAAGGTGCTGCAAATCCCAGGCTGAAAGTCACGCGCTGCAAGGCCCACTTGAAAAGCTGAAAGCTGCTGTTTCTGCAAGCTTCAACTGAATGCTGCAAGCTGCAACCCCCTCCAAATCCATTCTTCAAGCTGCAAGCCCTTGCAAAACAGACTTCAACTGAATGCTGCAAGTTGCAACTCCCTCAAAAAGAAACTTCAAAGTGCACCCTTGCAAAGCCCTTCAAACTGCAAGCTCTCTACCAAACCATTCTTCAAGCTGCAAAACTCTGCAAAACATCCTGCTGAACCTAAAACCTTTTTGGACACCCAAGCTCAAACTAAGGGTGCGCTTCAAGCTTTCTTCAAGCTTTCTGCAATCTAGAAATGACACCCCTCCAAGCTTTCTTCAACTCTTCTTCAATCTTTCTTTGAAGCCTTTTCTTCCTTCTTAAAAGGATTTGCCTTCAACATCTCCACCACTGTGTTTCCTGCAAACAAGTGAGGGGGGGGTTGAAGCTGGAAGGCAAGGCTCAAAGGCTTCAATATTCCAGATTCTAAAGTGCTACAACTCATTGAACATCTCTCAACCCACCCTTCCAATGCTGTTGCTGCTGTTGCTGTTGCTGCTTCAGATGTCCATTGAAATTTTGGAGATTTCCATTGAGATTGGATGCCTTTTGATGGAGATTTCCATTAAACATTTGAAGATTGCCATTGAGATTTGATGCTTTTGGAGGCTTTTGGATGGAGATTTCTATTGAAAATTTGGAGATGTCCATTGAGATTTGATGCTTTTGGAGGCTTTTGGATGGAGATTTCTATTAAGAAATTTGAGATTTCCTTTTAATTTAATATTGCCAGAGGTCTTCAAAGTTAGGAATTCTTATTTCCTTTTAATTTAATATTGCCAGAGGTCTTCAAAGTTAGGAATTCTTATTTCCTTTTAATTTAATATTGCCAGAGTAGCTCCAGAGGTAGCTAGCTAAGGATTCCTTATTTAATTATCAACTGATTGATTTTCTTATACATTATTTTGGAGGCCTTGGCTGTTGAGGGGGGGGGGGTTTATTAATCAAGGGACTACATTACATCACGACAAGGAGCATAGCGGTGTCATGAACCAGTTTTCTGGGTCGATGGTAGGATTGTGTTTAACAACAGGATGAAACATCAGCATTGGGGGATGACACATATGACCACTGTGTCCTTCATTGACGAACCCCCATAGCCACTAGAAGTGCACTAGAATCAGAAGGGTCCTGCGCTTTTGAAGAGGGGGCGCGGTCACGAGCAGTTTTTCATAGGTGTCATAGATCAGATTACATTCAAAAGCCTGGTTGCAGAAGGATGTCATCGAATGTGTGCAAAAACTGAAGGTCAAAGTGGCAGCAATGGTGTTTTCATTTACGTTACTTTCCAGCTCGAAAGGAATGGAAAAGCAATGGAAAAGAAACTTTCCAGCTCAAGACTACTCCAACTGGCAAGTGTTATAGAACCAGCCTCACACCTCGAAGGACCTGTGGTGATGCTGTTTCGCTTGTGTTGTGTGTTTTTATCCCTTCAGTTCCCCACTCTCATCATGTGGGCTGCTTTTTTAAATATGACCGCCCAGCCATTGGCTCTCCTAAATCCATTTCAGGCTTGTGGGGTTTATTCACGAATCATCACAAATCAACATTTTACCGTCTGCGTGCATTACATGTTGGTTGAGCATGTTCTTCCGCTCATCTCCAAGGAGTGTCCTGACATGTTTCTTCGTGAGACAGCCCCTACCAAAACCGGACCGGTGCTTCTTCCGGAAGAAATCCTTGTCGATTTTGGTTGTTCAAGGACTCATGACTGCTACCCTAGAGAAAGCATATGAACTCCAAAAATGAACTCAGCCCCTTTGAGTCGGGACAGACTTCTCATTGACTCGGTCATCACGGGACGACGGACGTCGAGGCGACTCGGAGTCGACACGACGAGTCGTTGGAGGCTTTGAAGCTGCGCTCTCCAGAAGTCTACCCGATCCCTGGGCGTGACATGCCACTGGGCCAGTCGAATCAAACGTCAAAGCTGCCGCCGAAGGGCGGAAGGAATCAGGGGCCTTTGGATCTATATAGCTGGGCTCTACAGATCGCAAATATATATATATATAGAGAGAGAGAGAGTGTTGGTATGTTTTGATCTTTCAGTTTCAACTGAGCAGGGGCGGTTTGTTCTGTTTGAAACTGCAGCTTTGCACGTCCATTTTCACTGACTGCCCTCGGCCGGCTGAAAAAGGCCACTCCAGGGTCCCAAGATGTCCGAAAAAACCCTCCCGAGGCCCGCGAAACTCCCGCCATCAGATGTTTGTTCAAGCGAAATGGGGGGGGGGTGTGCGTCCATTTTCGGGGTGAGTCGAATGAAGATGATACAAGTGATACAAGTCCATGTTCATTGCGGACAAGCGAAGGAACGTTGGTCTGTGGCACGGTCGTGTTTGTTGGTGAACCACGGCTTCATTGGTCTTCGCACCGGTCCAGACGAGAACCTCAAGGTCGCGCATTTTCATGGGGTCTTTGGAGCTCAAGGTCTCTATAGTGATCCCCAAAAAAGATAGAAACGGTTTGGTTTCCAGTACTTTTTTAGAAATGATCTATATACTGTTCTATCTATTTGGGGGTCTCATGGGGTCTCCATTGTTCGGCGACAGATGACATTCGTCCACAAACTCTCGGGTTCTTTCATATTCTCTCCTTGTCCATGATTAGGATAGCTTTTCGGCAGTGAGCTCGGCACTTTAAGGCGCTCGAGGAAGGCACTTGGTAGGACCATGAAACAGGTGGTGAAATCCACGTAACCATGAGTTCAGGGAGTGTCGCTGCCGAGGACCCCCTTGTTCACCGGTTCATCAGGCAGCCACGTTCAAATCTTTGGAGCTCAGGCCATGTGAAGAGATCCGCAAGAAGCTGCGCGACTTGGTGAATGTTTGTGGTCAAAAAAAGCTCAATTAGTTAGTTGCTAATGTAGACTCTTGATTAATAACCCCCCCCATTTCAAGAATTGAGCATCCTCTTCATATGCGGGGTCTATGGTCCTCAAATTATGTTCAACCTCTACCTGGGCTGAGTCATGTGCTTAACTTATGCATAGAAATACTTGTTTTTGGTGATGAAACCACTTGGGGGTGACTCTGGTTGGAATGGGGAGCTCCCTAATATCTCCACACCACTGGTGGGAAGCTCTACCTCACACCTCGCCCCAAACCGTACACCTCGCCCGCGCCTCAGACTCCGATGACGAGGGGAGCGCCTCAGACCCCTCGGGCCCATGTCCACCTTTTCAGGCTCCGTCCTGGATGGCGTCACTGCGGCCAAAGGCTACCCCAGCGCGGCGTGAAAAGAAGCGTCCCTGGGACCGGAGGAGCGGCGAGGACGGAGGAAAGGTGGAAGACGGTAGACCTGCTAGGGGGGACGAGCTTTGGGTGGTGGTTTTGGAGATTTTTCTGATGCACCTTGGGGACGATTGAACCCACTGTTAGATCTGTTAGTCACATGTGTTCAATCAGGTGAGTTGAAACCACCAAGCAGTGAGTTGAAACCACCAAGCAGTTATAAGATGGATGCACGTTGGACCTCCAACCTTTGGTCATTCACTGTTTTGGCACCTTGTGATTACAGAAGGTATTGGCATATTGCTACTTAGAGGACGGTGCAGGGGCACCTTACCTTGCCACACCAGGCTGGGGATAGAGATAGATAGAATATGACAGGATATGATAGGTATGTCTAAAGGATTAGTGTGTTGCTGGCATTGTTGTCACAGTGCTGTTGACTTGTTTCTTCTAAGATTCTGGCAGGTCCATTCTCAACATGGATGAGCTGTCGATTCTGTCGATTCAACACATAATTGCCCGGCTTGCCCCGCAATGGGGACAAAACACCCATGGCATCCGTTGAGTCAATGTGTTCTTCGCCCATCGCGGTGAGTGCATGGCACCCACGGCTCGGCGAAACGGCGAGTCCATCGGCAGTGGCTCTTAGTGGCTCCCCGAGTCCAGCTCCCACCAGAAACAAGGAAGCACAAGGCCAAGAAAGAGGCGTTTCGGTGCTCAAACCGGGAGTGAGAATTTCCAGTGAACAACCCTCAACTTAAGACCCACACCGGCGTCAACTTAGTGATGGTTCGGAGTGCCATGACCAGCCCCAAAGAGTTCCATGCATTTTTCAGCACCGTCTCAGACTGAGCCGGTCCATAGCGGATTGTTCCATGCTTCCGGTGAGGTCTACAAACCCCAAGTGAGGTCTAAAGTGCTGGTCCAACTGTCCGTCGTATGCCATAATGCCATCATGTTTTTTCCCATGTTCTCTCCAAGTCTCCCAGTTTGGCAGCATTGTAGCGACACTGACAGGACCCACGGAAGATGCTGATCGTTTCTCCTCAGATTTGAGCATTGCAATGCTGAGAAGACCATCAGTACAGCAACACAAAGATCTCGTCTACATCACGAAAGCATCCAAACTGCACAAGACAGACTCTATAGGTAAGTATCAATACCTTTTCTGGAATGGATTTCAAGACACTATGTATATTTTTGTTTTATCATGCCGTCACGGTCAGCCTCTTTCTGCAGTGAACAGGTGTTGTAAGGAGTGGATTCTCAGGAAAAAAAAACACCCAGAACCCACCCAGACACAAAGCAATCTCGTTGTTCACCAAAAGCAACCAAAAGCAAAGCTCAGCAATGGTTGTGGGTCCAATCCGGGGGACCCTGCCCACCGATTTCATGAACAGAATAGACGACCTACAGGAGGTCCTAGCAGGGTGCGGGGCTCCGGGTGCCATGACACAGCCAAGCTGATCATACCAGCTGAAATCCCATACTACGACACCCGTACTACACCGAAGAAGGTGATGCCATTGCCGAAGCCAACGGCCCATCTGCGGCCGAAGCCATGGGGGAGGCCTTGATCGACAAGCTGTACTCCTTTCATTTCATCTTCACCTGGATTTTAGCTATCATTGTGGCGGTGAACTGGTGTTATATCTTTAAGCTGGCACTTCCGGAGTATTCGGAGCTACTGGCACCATGGGCCATCTACACCGTTTTGGTGACCTTCTTGATGCCCTTCGTGAAGATGAGCCTTCTGCGGATGCAACAGCAAGATGGCTGGGGGAGAAAGATGAAGATCTGCCAAACGCTGCTGATTAGCACCTGGCTTTGCAAGTTGGACCATCACCATGAAATAAAGTACAATGACCAATGGAAAAGACCCCTCCCTCCCTTAAGCGACTGAAGACTCAGCTTGTTTGGACATGTCCTGAAGAAAATCCAAACAGCAGGTGCGCCCAGCGATCCTACAAAGTGCCACTTGTAGAAAAAAAACATATCAACCCAACCACAGGAGAGGTCACATGAGGCACTTCCCATGATGCACAATCTTGAAAATATCTGAAAGCAGCTACGCAAACCAAAGATGTTGGGCTTCTAAATGGTTCAAACCATTGCCTGAAACCTAGGACCCCATGGAACCCCCAGAAATAGCCCAAGGTGTGACTTATCAGGTCTTTGGAAGCAAAGGCTGGCCTTGGGTGGCTTGGTCAGACTAGGTTGAGCATCACGCAGAAGACACGCCAGGTATGACTGGCACCGTGGTCGGAACCAGTTGGGCAGGCCTTGTGGCTTTGGTTTTCCCCTACGTCTCCGACTTCCATGCACCAGGACAGGAAGTCGTTAGTGGCTGGTTTGATGGAGGCATTTGATGGATTTGTTCAATCTACACACCAGGACGTCCTTTGTTTGCAGATTGAAGGACCCGTGGGGCTTACGCTGGCGCTGGCGGTGACCCTTGTGCCTGGGTTCATTCTTGTTCTTCCGGGCTTGCTCACTCCCCCACAGACCAACATGGACCCTGAACAAGGATAGTAGATGATAGTGGTTTGCAGGGTCCGTGTTAATGTGTGGGCGGGCATCCACTTCATTCAAACAGTTGGCCATGAATCAGCGTCATGACCATCATCCACTGCAGGTGATGAGGATCTACCCCCCCGGAGAAAAGAAAAGTTCTTATGATGTTCTAAGACCGAACGATGTTTGGAAATGTTGACCTACAGCTGCTATGTTTAGGCATTTTGCCTCCCTCCAGTGGTCGTACATGTCCCAATTCTCTCATCCTAGTGTTATCATTGAACCAACCACCAAGCAGGTGTTCATTATGGTTCAAGCAGCCCTCGAGCGAGCTCTGTATGACATGTCAGATGGCACCTTCAATGCTGCCACCCGGCTGCAACCAGCACTGTGTTTGGCTCGGATGCCATTGACCCAGGAAGAACCGGTTGATCCGCGTGGTGTGCAATGGTCGACAAGAGCAGAGAGAACCCATACTAAAAGTATGCGAAGATATGAAAAGAATTGCACACATTTTAAAGGTGAAGAAGAACCTACTTGCGTCGGATGCATCAGCAAGTCCGACAAATGAAACCCCTTCAGCGGATGTGACAGGTGCCCGCCTTGGTTCCAGTACAACCCACACCATCCATGTATGGAATATTTATGGTTTTTTATGCCATACATGACGGATGATTTGGGTGTTGGTTTGCAGGGGTGTTTCTTGCTTTGTCCCACAGGCTCCCTGCATGCAACTGTCCTGCAGTGTTGGTCTAAGCAATGGGCGATGTGGAAAGCGAATGGCAAGATCCAAGAGATGATACAATATATGTGCAGAAGATGTTTGAGCAAACCACCAGGTAGTAGTGCTGATTAAAGCTTTCAGCCAGGGACATGTTTACAAATTTGATTTAAAAAATGTTATATATCAAATTTGGCTAAAAGAGCATTAGCATCCACACGTGTTGTGTTTGCTTTTCCATTGCCCTCGCCAAAGCCAAGGTCTCCTTTGACATTATTCTGAATTCTTTGTGGTCGTCATTGGGCTACTTCTGGAACTCTGCCCCTTATGCAGCAAGAGTCTTCCTTGAAACATCCATCCGTTTCTGTGTGGAACGAGAGCTTCACGATGTACACCAGGTTTGGAGCCCAGCTCTGGCTCATCAACACGGCCAGGGATCGACTCAGGGCTCGACCCATGCGTCAGAGTGTCCGGAGCGTTCGAAACCAATCGTCAGAGAGTCCACCAGAGACTCTCGGTTGACCAGAAAGAGCCCCATTTGGAGTGTAAAAGCCTTTTCATATGGGGTGTTTCATTCATCAAGCGTCAGCATCACCAGCTGGCCTCATGAACCAGTGGCTACTCAAGCCATCCTGTGGCTGTCAGGTTTGGAACCGCTTCCTAGTGACCTTCCACAAGCGCAACCGGAGACCGAAGAAACCAGCCGAATTCATGGTGAGGCTTTTGCTGGAAGATCAGCGAAAGGGGCCGAAGCACAAGTTCTTTGGAGTGCTTAGCAGGTGATTGTGGGATGTTTTTGGTCCAGCAGCTTTATAAGCCCTTCCACCAATCAAAAAGCACGGCACGCCCCCCCCTCGAAAAATAAGACCTGTTTGTATTTTTTTCGGGGAGGGGTCCCCAGAATAGGAGGGCACCCACAGATGGGAATCTGGGAAGAGCTTCAAAACCGAAACATCCCCTAGCACAAGTGTACGAAAAATCCTTTATGAAACCTTTTCAAAAGCTGAAACACCCTGAAAATCGAAGGGTGTTCCTTTCCTGTTACAAAACCCTTGGTTAAGGTGTTGATTCTTTATATTCATCGCTCGTCATAACTCAAGATGTCAAGAAGGTGATGAGTCACTGTGCCATGCGGTTTGGCAAGGCCTCGATGGATATTGCGTTCACGTGGCTCCCTGCCACTGGGGAACCGTTTGTGCCATGCGTGTGTAAATGCGGCGTGCCGCTGGTGAATGGCACAAGCGGTGGTGAGTCTAGAGGGTGGGCATCTATATAACTAAAAAATCCCAGAGATTACCCTTGGCCTGGGCATTTTGGCAGTAGAAAGACCACCCTTACTTGTTCCTCTACAAAATGTTGGTGCCTTGTACCTATAACATGTCGTTCTCAGGGGTCATTACATAGAAACATGTGCCATGGTTGAAACATACTATGATGCAGGAGAGGGAATTGCATTGTGTAAAAAGGTGCTGTTCCTAATGATGGGTACTTGTGAGAGATGACTGCACTTTTGCCAAAGCTTTGATCTCCTTGCTTGCTGAGAACAAAGGCTTGCATGCGCTTGTAGACTTTCGCCAGATTCTGGTGTCCAAATGTTTTCTCTCTTCTCGCAGTCAGGGTAAAAAACAAGAATGCCAGCATAGACCCCAAACAGCTTCAGCATCTTTGTTGCGTCAACTCCGTTATATAATTCCAATGTTGGTGGTAACGTTTTTTGGGAATGGCATTGTTTGAAAACAATAGTTCCTGATTCCCGGGTCGACATGTGCAAAAGCGAAGGGGTATATCAAGGGGTATATGTCATGAGAAAATCCGATGATGATATCAAACTCGAAACGCTGCACCACTGTCGCATTCATAGCCACACGAAAACATGTGGTGGTAAATGGGCCGACAACGCTGAGAAGCAGGACAGCCAGACTTGGACAAGGCATGGACAAGGCGGTGGAAGGCCTGGACAAGCCCCGGATAAGGCGCAAAGGGAAGCCTGCGGTGCGGCCACAGCTATCATGGCCGGCCATTTCTTTCTTAGGCTATTTGGGGATTCAAGAGGATGACACAGGGTTCGCCAGCAGGAGGACAATGCAAGCGTGGCCGGAGGACAGAGGGAGAACACAAACGTGGCTGCGGCCAGGAGCACAGCAGGACAAGATTAGGAGGACAAGTTTGAAGAGGACGAAACAGTGTTCGCTAGTGCGACCAGAGGACATCCTGCAGGTCGGACAGCAGGACAAAAGAAGGGCGCAGGGTTCGCCAGCGCGGTCAGAGGACAGTCAGGAGGACAACGCCCGGACACAGGGTTCAGGGCCACGGCCGGAGACTGCGGCCAAGCATTTTTTCGAACCCAAAGCCCCAACAACTGTTTGAGGTAATGGCTGCCGTGTTGCGTGCCACACCTAACTCTGAAGTAATGATAGGTGAAGGTGAAGGCAATCAGTTATCACAGGCTGTGTTTTATTTTTTTCGTTGTGTTGCTTTGCTCCTACTGTCAGGGAAACGGTTTCTACATTCTTTTGCGTGTTAAAAAATGATTTTGTCAACTTGTGGATCCGCAATCGACACTGCGACACAGAGTTGGCCGGCAAGACGTTCTGAGCAGCAATCTTGGCTGGTCAATATGCAGTTTATACTGGGGCTGTGCTCATGGGTCGCTGTGCAATTTGCTCTGTTTGAAAGACCGTTTGGTCACCTCAGCTTGCTGATGGGAGTGGATTTGTGGTTTATTCATGTTATAGAAGTTTTCTATATGGGATTTATGTTTTCCAGATCATTTTACAGCACTTATGACCTTATGTTACTCAAAAAAAGGCCTGCCCAATAAATAGACTAAAGGGGGGGTTCGGAAAGGCGGCAAGTGAGAACCAAAGGCAAACTGCATTAATTTGTAAAGGGGTTTCCCACATGGTGAATTTAGTACTCGCACTCAGGATTAGTGAACAACCTCGATTGTTTTTTGGATGGCACCGTATTGGTCAATGTATGAGAGAATATATAGATATACATATAGATGTGTTCCAAATGTTCACGAGCTTCCCCCGGGTCATTTTAGGAATATTGAATGTTCCCAAACGTGTCGAATCCCTAGAATACAATATAGTAGCTATAGACATGTGTATCTAGACAGTTTTTTTGCATGCATTTGTTTGGCACTAAAAGACCGAGATGTTTGCAAATGTTGTTTTCTTAATGGCGCTCCATCCCTTTGTCAACTCCTCAGGTTCCAGAAGAAAACACCCATCTATATAGCACGTGACAGGTCCATTTCATGTTCGTGAGTCTGTCCAATCCAAGGTTTCAGACCATCCAGGATGCGCGTGCACGAGAATCAGAGCTTGGAAGTGTGATTGGTTCACAGGGGATCTCACAAGGTTGGCTGAAGAGCCAACGAAATGGCGTTCTCAATTACCCAGCAGGTCTTGGAATGTTGACTTAAGAACGATGGGTGAAACAGGGGGACCGAACGAATAAGGACCAGCTGTTGCCGGTGTCCTTTTTCAAGCTAGCATGAAGTCCTTGAACTCCAGAGTTTCTCCTGGATGGCCCGCCATGATGGTTCCAAAACATTGGGATGTGGAATGCTATGGATCAACAATACGGTGCCTGACTCAAAGACGCTAAAACCGGCACTTCTTCTGGTGCCACAAGCCGCGTGATGTTCCAAACACGTGTCACTGCCTCACCACGCACATCTGCAGGACCAGATGAACGGGCGACCAGATGAAGTGGACGCCCGGGCTTTGCAGTGACGAGCGGGGTAAGCTAGGTCAGGCCAACGTTGGATTCCGCAAGGGTAGGATGAGGACGGGTGAATGGGGTAGACGGGTAGACTAGAGTGAGGTGAGTTGATTTACGCCGATGTCCCCTCAAACCGGTTCGACGTGGTGCAAAAGAAAAGTGGACCCTGGATTTGACCAACCGAGGGAACCCATAGGTTTCATTCATACGTGGCATCCGGAGAAAAAAAAAAAAAGAGTTTCTCTCGTCACGCGGGCGGAGCATCGAATGAGGACAACAATGGGCCAGGCTATCGGCCTTTGTTGGTGAAAGCAATTCTCACTCTTTCGCTGTGCTTGGTGGTGCTCTACTTCATCCCAGAACCCTGGCAGCATGCCGAAACGCTGACTGGCAGTGGCGTCCTTTGGAGTAGTAACACGTGGTATTGGCTGCCACTCCGGGCGCTCAAAAACGAACAAAAAGCACATCTTTGGTGGACAAATGTCCGGTTGAGGAGAAGAGTTTCTCTTCTTCCAGGTGTCTTGATGTGCCATCCACTGAAGTGCAACTGCACAGGGTGCAACTGGTGGCGTTTCCCATCGAGTCTAAAGACCAGCCGGTGTTCGCCTCCCAACCCCTCCGCAGGAGCCCTTGGAGACAGGACACCAGCGGAGGCTGGGGTGGCACCGGCGCCGGCTTTGGATCGCGGTGAAGATGATGGCGACCATCATCCCAAGCCGCACGGCCTGATGGCGCCCATGTTTCAAAGTAAAATGACCGACACGGTCAGAGATGCCTATTTGTCAGGCATAGCCGTGTGTCAACCGGTGGTCTTTCTGGGGGAGGTGAGGCAAGCAGCTTGGAATTGGCATCATTTGGCGTCCTGCTTTGTGCAAAGTGAAAACCCGTATATATACTCTGATGGTTTTGGGTGCTTGGTTGCTTCACGACGATCTCCGATATAATGTCCAGATCGACCTCACCGTGCATTTCTTCAGATCACCTCACTGCCTAACTCCTCACTTCTAAATTCAAGCAAGTGAAGTCTGCAATTGCAGGCCGATGTCCAACACTATCCGGGCCATTTGGTCACAGCGAAACCAGTTCCCTGGTTCAACCTGCAGAACTCACCAGAAAAAACATCTACTGAATAAATTCTTTGCCGTCCAGACGCAAAGGCGGGAGACGGGATCTCTGGACTTCGGCCCGCCCAAACGGAACCAGCACGCACCCAGGTTACGCGGTGACGGATGCGGGCTTCTATTTCGGTACACAACTGGTGGCCACCAAAACGGGCAGCGAGGCCCTAGGGCTCTGCACCGCCTTTGCCTATGCAATTCTGATGACTTGGCTGGTGATGTCTTTAGCTCGGAAGGTGCAGTGGCAGCCGCAGGGTGTTTATGCTGGACGGTTATTGGGGCTTGGTTCGTGGCTGGTGTGCTATGCTTGGTGGTATCCGTGGCAAGAGGTCCTGTATCAGATTCAAGGCTATGGGCTGTGGAACTTGAAGATTGGTCTTGCTTCGTCAGGTCTTTTGTTTGCGTGCCCGCCCGCAAATGCGTTTTTTCACTGGTTCCCCGAATGCTTGCATCCGCATGCGAGCTGGGAATTTGGATAGGCCTTCTTGTATACATTTGGCCGGTGAATTCTTGCAAGAGTTCGATTCGAATTGAACATGCTAGCACTGCTGACCACCACCCACCCACGCCATGGAAAACATTAGAAAAAAACCGCCTTCTATTGACGGAAGCCATGTGTCAAACCTTCAGCTTTGAAGCCACGGGACGCAGTCGCGAAAATCCTAGGAACTTGGACAGCTCCGTGGAGGAAGCTTTCCAAGTTTTGCTGACTTTGGTGGGTGCCCTTTTCTTCACCATCCTCCTAGGCCAGAACAAACGAAAAACGGGTGCAAGCGCTCGTCGACGGCGTTGTTTTAACAGACATTGATGAAGATACACGACCTGGTGGCTTCAACGATGCGTTCCTAACCGGGAGGATGAATCCATATAGAATCCACTATATATATACATAAAGCCACCCAAAAAGAAAAATCGAAGACCATTTTTTGCAGCTACCCGTTGTTCAGAGGGCCATCGAATCTCGGCATATGCTGTTTTCCCAGGCATCTCCCTGGCTCGGCTCGTGGACTGCCGCTGTTTGCTGGGGGGGTCCCCGGTGGATTCCGCCCGCCTCAAGGACGGCAGCGGAGGGCTCCCCACACATGGGGTGTGGAATGACACGAACAGTGGGAGGCCATCAGCACACCATCTTAAGCCATGCTTGACCCCTACTCGTATCCTCAATCATTTTAACATATCTTGGATCAGTGATCATCAGTGGGAGGTTCTGCTTGAGGGTTGCCCTGCCATTCTTTAATCCAGACCAAGTACTCCCATAGTTTGCCCAATGTTCAGGCTGCTCCTTCCAGTAAAAGCCCACCCATCAAGTAGCAAATCAGAAGGCTTCGTGTAGACATGGACAGTTGGAGCACCCTCCTTGCGCAACGCCGGGACAAGCAACTCAACCGTCCCGTTGAGCCGGTCGAAGCGCTCGGCGTGTTGAGCCGTCTCTCCGTCTCCCCATCCGAGGATCACGCCCCATCATCCGGAGAGGAATGAAGAATACAAACAGAGATCCGCTCGTGACCAGTGCCCGAACAAGGATGTTGATTTGTCGTGATTTTCCAGGCACCCTTGCCAGTTCCCCGAATTCTGGCTGATATAGACCAGGAACCACCCACGTCTAAACCCCACATGAGATTACCCCAAGCATCCTCAAGCGATACCGTTCTTTCTCATACCGTTCTTTCTCACCCGAACTCCAAAGCAATTCTAAACATGCCAAGCTCTTTGCTCAATGCTCATGTTCGTGCATGCTCATGCTGCATCATGCTGCATGACCCATCAGGTTTGGGGGGGCATGCCCAGACCCATCCATCCATCCATCCATCCCCCGGTCCTCCTTTTGAACTCCCCCATCTCAGGAGCTCACCTCGCAAGACCTGCAGCTCCGTGCCTTCCTCGAGCGCTTGGGCCTCGCGCAGTCGTCCGACCTCAGCTCCTTGCAGCTGTCCCCGGTGGTGAGCACCGGCGAGGTCGGAGCCGACTGAGGAGGTCGTTCCGGGCTGAGAGAATGGATGGAACATGGAGGGTGTTGGATGGTTGGAAAGCATCTTGCGGCGAGCAGGTGCCAAAAGGGAACGATTGTTTGTCCCGCGTGGCGGTGGGGTGCCTGGGGTGGGTGTGTGTGTGTGTGTGTGTCTCTGTGTCTTGTTGCATGGAGGAACATGTGTGATCACATGTGATCACCATTTGTGGTTCAATGTGTTTTGTTGCCATGGTTTTGAGAGCGCACAGCCATCCTCATCGCACTTACCCCACTCACAGAATGGATTCATATGTTTGGGTGAATTGGTTGGTGTTCATTCAATTGGACAAACTGGTAGCTGCAGCTTGGACATGAGGCAATTGGTAATTTCATGTAAGTTCATATCATTTGGGTTTGTCCTAACACCTGCAACAGTCAGTAAACAATTATTACATATTATTATTACTATTGTTGAACAAGGCCTCTACTAAACCATCATCATCCACTGGGCCCAGGAAAGAGCGGATAGACCCAACATATAAGTTCAGTTCAATTTCAGTCAGATGGATTCTTGGGCGACCCATGACCACTGAGCCGTGAACTATCATGGAACTTCTTACCTCTTCTTGCCTATTCTTCAAGATCTATGTCTATGGTGGTGTTGACATTTGAGTAGTCAGCTGCAGCGACGTCCTTCTTTCCACAACTCCCTGGCTTCTCAGCTGTGACATGGGCTAAATCACACATGAGAGGTGCGCAGGACAGGACAAAGCCATCGGGCCAGGAAGACCCCACGGATGACTAGCACCAACCAATCCCCCAGCAAGCCCCAGCCCCATCGAGTTAGCACGTTGCCCCGCCCAGTCCCCACATCTTCGGGTCCAGGACGCACAGACCACGTGATCAGGGATCCAGATCAGCACATCCTTAAATATCACTGCACAATTAAAAAAAAACTGACAAGATCTGATAGGAGCAACAGCAAGATGATCGCAGCACACATATCGAAAGACAATGTATTTGTTGATTCTTGGATGATCCTTCCACAGAGTTGTGGATCACTTTGCAGAAAGCCGACTGCCAGAAGCTGCTTGTTCGGCGCCATGCGGAAGGTGCCGAACCTCGGGGTCCGACCCCCAGTGAGAAGCAGCCAGACGACCGAAAAGCAGCGGAACATCCTTCACGGGATGCCCGTAGAAGAGCTGAGCTCAAGCGGCTCAAGCCTGGAAGTGTTTCCTTTTGGAACTCGCAGGCGATGAAAGGGAAGAAGGAGGACACCCCATCGGTGGATGCGCTGGCGGTGATGAGCCCCAAGGCACGGTACAGCAGATCGAGGTTTACTGGCACGGTCACGTGCTGGTCACGTGGGGTAAGAAAGGTGCAGAGCAGAATTCATAGCAAGCCTCAGTGGATGTCCCTGGTGGACTTGGGATTTTCATGGATTTTCTGTGTATTCGAGGAAGCAGTGGTCTTGACCCCTCCCAGGAATGATTTTGAAATGATTTGGAAATCAGTTTGGCTTGTACTTGTGGAGAATGAAGCTGGTGAAGCGAGTCTCAGATGGACTCTGGTGGGTCCTGGGTATGTTCGAGGGCTGGGACCACAGTGCCACAAGACCCTCGGCACCCAAAACAGACCCAAAACCCACCTTGAAAGACTGGATTTAGGTCTTTAGGATGGCCTCCAGCAACTTAACCACGACACACCAGTGTGGTGGTATTCTTTTTTCCAAATGTTTGAAGCTGTTTCCATGTGAAAAAACATGGAAAAAAACATGGTTCCACTTCGGATGATGGATCCGCCCTCGTCCCTCGTCTCCGTGGCTGGTCGCCGCGTCCAGCGTCCCGTCCTCCAGGCGCGGGACCGTCGGGACTCCGAAGAATCCAAGGACGGCGCCGCGCGACGCGACGCCGCTGGACCGGTCGGGTGGAGTCGAACGGGGGAGGACGGTTCGGGGAGTTGTCAGGTCTCCAAAAACCGAACGGGCGTGACATGAGTGACCGAATGGATATTCTGAGGTCTTGTGCCAAAAAAGTGCCGATTTTTTGGGGGTGTAGCCGTAGCCTCAATCTTGCAGATCTTTGCTATACTACTGTACTGTTAACTTGATCCTAATGCTCCCGCTTTGGGCAGACACAACCGAGAAACGAATCAACCAGAAACCTTACAGCCTCCACTTCATCCTCCAAGCGTTCTGGTCCAATCAGAGCACAAGGCAATCCCACACCAGCTGGCCTCGGTGCCAATTTGTTGGGCCTTCATGTCTTGTGCAAGCAAGCGCGCAGCAGCGTCGGGGTCAGTGGCTTTCGTCCCACATCCAACAATAGACTCACACATCGTACATACATTGGTACAATTACATACACCTATCATCACATACATATCAATACAGTTCAATACAACTCCTAGCCACGCATGGCTTTCACAGGTCACGTCCGATCCCAGGAGGCCGGACGCCTGAAGGCGATGCTCCGGCGCGGCGGCTCCATGCAATCGCTGCTCTCCCTGGGCTCGCGGCGCTCCAACCGCTCGGGCGGCTCCTCCGGGGGCATGGGGCACCTTGGACGGAGCAGCGCGTCGCAGAGGTGGGAGGTGGGAGTGGTGGCGAGAGCGGCGAGAGGTGATGAATTGGAGATGTGACCTGTTGGCAATTTTTTTGGGGGGTTGATGTTAAAGTGAGCGGTGGACACCCTATTTTTGCATGACTTGCCGTGGTTCAGGACTTGGTGTGAAGATGGCACCAACCCGCCGGACGGTTGGCACTTGTGCTTGGCACCGGACCGTCGGTCCCAGGCTTCCGAGCAAAGTCTGGTCCTCAGATGACCGCTCAAGCTCGGCTTCCGCTGAAGCCGGGTGTTGAAAGCTTCCAAGCAAGATGACCATAGCTTTGCTCAACCAGCTCAAGCGTTTCGCAATCTGATATTTGTTTGCAGTGATGCTATCGATTTCTAAATTGGCTCCTGCTCCTCCCGTTAAAACTGGTCCACCTCGAAGCCGGTCGAAGTGGGACCTGGTAGAGGAAAGTATTTGTGGAAAAGAACCCTCCTGACATGGACGATTTGTGAGGAGTGTTACAAGCTGCGTTATCTGATGTGATTTGTGTGTATGCCTCAACCTGGCAAGGCTCACATGATCGCTGGCAGCTTTGCTTGCGTGATCCTGCACGCGGCTGAGATGTGCATGTTTTGTCCTTGAAGGAAGAACTCTGGCGATTGATGGTGTAGCAACAACTGCCTTTGAAATCAAGCGCCAAAATCCTTGATTAGAATAGGCTTTGCGTAGGGTTCACCGTCCTCCACATCCTACAAATACCCAAACTCGATGGCAAACGAATTCAATACGGCGTTTTCCTTCAAGCAGATGCTTTTCATCGAGATTTTTTGTTCCTTTACCACTCAGAAAGGTCCTGGGTCGGCACCGTCTCCATCTTGCTGATGATCGTAGCTTTGCGCTACACTGGCCCAGTGGTCACGCGCCCAAGATCAACGCTCTGCCTCTCGTTCAGCCATTTTTTTTCGACTAGTGAGGAAGGCACAGATCAGTCCTAAAGAGGCGCCCTGGACACGCCCTCTCAAGAAGGTTATGCTTCGTTCGGGTATACTTCTTCAAGCTTTGGTGGACAGCAGCCGTTGGGTTTGGCTGTTCTCGTTTCGCACAACCGACACACAGTGCATCGGCAGACTCCGTCACCAAGGTCGACTTGGTGCGCAGCTCAGGGATCAGCCAGAACCGAAACGACATCAAAGGAAGACTGGAAAGGAATGATGAAGATCTTCCAAGATTCCTTTCCGGTCTTCGTTCAAGGAATGTAGAGAGATGTGAGAGAGGCTTTGTGCCAGTGGTACTGTATCAAGCAGCATGTAGAGAGTCTTATTGGAAAACACATGTCAACACATATCCGGCATTCCAAAGATCAAAGCACCAATGATGATCGAAATATATCCATGTAACCGGGCATCTTGAAGGTCACATGGCAGTCTTCCCGGGTGTGTATATTAAAATAGCGATCTAAAAAAGAAAGAATGTAGACCAAAACATTCAAAACCAGTTCCAAAAGTATCCCACTTTTTCAACAAATGTTTACCTTCAAGTTTGTGCAAAACGTTTCTTAAGGCGGCTTGATTGATTCGTCCACCTTAGTAGGGCCAGCGAACCGCTACCCTTCGCGCATGCTTTCCGTGCGCTACGTGGTCTACGCCCGAGGCCCGCGAGCGCTACGTGGTCTCCGCTACTGAACGCGTGGGCTCGGAAGCAGCTCAGGCGAGCACGCGCGAGCACACTCCGCGCTCGAGCTGGGCGAGCTGCCCGTGGCACACCGACCGAAACCAAACGAAGTGGAAGCATGAAACCATCCTGGTTCGGTAGAGAAAAAGGGGAAAACTATGGAAAAAAAAATATATATATATACCCTAGGCTTCCAACAACCATTAATCTAATAGGCTTTACCGAATCAACCAAGGATTTTACACTACAAAAACCAGGTCAACAATTTTTTAAATGGTCTTGGAAGCCTAGGGTATATATTCCCAAAAAGGCCCATCTTCATCCGATGTTGCACTTCCACGGTGGACGAGTCGGAAGACGTCTTTGCTTTTGACCTTTGGTGACCGTGGACCGCCGGGCAAACCTGCGAACCCCCCCCCCGCACCCAGGGCTCGCCCCGAGCCAGGTCTTCGGCGCGGCCAGCGCGGCACGGCACGCCTTGGACTACGCAGCGCCTCGGTTTCCGGAGGGCGGCACCCCGTGCAGGGCCCCCGAACCCCCAGCGGGGCGGTGCCCTCAGGTGCAACGACAGCTCTACTTCGAGCCGGAGGCGCCGGTTTGGCTTTTGGGCGCGGCGGAGCGTGGCAGGTCATATGCCAGGTCATGGCAGGTTTTGCACCAGGTCATGCCAGGTGCTAATGAAATGAATGAGTGCTAATAGGTGAGGATGTGTTTGGAGGGAGTGATAGGCATATATAAGCATGTCCACAGGAATGAGGAGTAAACAGTGTCCGTCCTGCACTCCCGCGCTCCCCAAAAGGCAAACGGCTGGCACCCAGGATGATGGTGAAGATAGAGGGGTCAGGGGTCGAAAGGGTTTCTCACCAAGCCGGAGCCCTATAGCTTTTGAGGGACCGGAAGTAAGTAGGGTTGACCAGCAGTCACAAAGGGGTGCCTATTCAAGGATAGGGGTGCCCATTATCCACTCACTTAGGGACTAAAAACCACCCCTTTGAAACTCCTGGGTTTTGAGGGACCGGAAGTAGGGTTGCTCCTAGTAGTGTCCTTGCTCCTTGTAGTAAGGCCAGGAGCCCCGAACGTAGCGTCCGATCGCTCCTAGTAGCGATGCCCTTTTCTCCTAGTAGCTTCCTTGCTCCTTGAGCTCGTTGATCTCCAAAAGGCAGGATCTTTGGGCCTCCGACGTGAAAACGTGCCGCACAGGACTATGACGGGCTGAGCCTGGCGCTCGAGCCAGTCTTCGCCGCCCGAAAGCCACTTCGGGCAGCTGCTCGGTGGAAATGTCGGGGGAAGTAGATGGAGAAGGAGAAG